AATAAATAAATAAATAAATAAATAAATAAATAAATAAATAAATAATAAATACAGATAACAGATGAGGCAATTGATGTGTTAACCAATTGCAGTAACAATTTCAAGATATTTACATAAATTATAATGTACATTTTTAGCATATTGAGTATATTGAGTCAATTATGCCTCAATAAAGCTGAAACAAAACAAGACTGTGGTACTGGCTTAAGGGTAGACATAAAGGCAAAGGAATAGAATTGAGGTTACATAAATAACCTTTTACACATCTATAGTCAAATGAGTTTTTAAAAGGTGCCAAGACCATTTAATAGGGGGAAAAAAAACTTTCAACAAGTGGAATTTGGACATTTTAGGTAAAGAGTAAATACAAAAATAAATTCTGTTAGTCCCACCTATCATTTAAAGAGATAGTCTTGCAATTTTGAATGTAGGAGAACAGTTTTCTATACAGAAATATTAGTAAAGGAATAATATCTTATGTGAACAATAAAAGAGGTCTGCACATTCTAAGCAAGAGGTTGAATTCCATTCAATTTGTGGCTTTTTTCCCTTCCTCCAAAGGCTGCCTACTCACTTCATGCCAAAACCACCATACTTACTTCTTGGCAAATTGTGAACTAAATTATGCCTACTGTTTTAATCACTCAAAAGTAGAAACTGACTTTTCCAAATCCTGGTTAAATCTGAATGAATACATAGCTGATCTAAAAGTGATTTGGGTAAGTTTATTCTCCATAACCAACAAAATTATGACAGTGAGCAGAAGATTCATCTACACTGAGCAAATAGTATAACAAGAGTCCTGAATTGAAGTTATTTATTTAGAAAAGAAAAAAAAAGGTTTATTACAAATCCTCAAGTGTCCTTTAGTCCACAAGTCAGCAAAACACAGAAACAATGGAGAAACCTTTTTTTAAGTGGGTGTTGGCAGATGTTAGCCAAGCAATGATTTTTGAAAAGTTAAATGGTGCTCTACTAATGTTTTCACCAGACTACAAACACAGACACAAGATGGTCCCTGGCCAACAATGAAAGGCAACAGGATTTTAGATTTATTTGTTATAATGTTGGTGTAGTGAGAAGGGCCATAAGCCAAGTATGTGTTTGGCCAAAACAGTGGTTAAACTACCATTTATGAATGATGACTAGGAACCAAGCATCAGGCTAAGATTTTCACTTGTAGCCTTTCATTTAATCCTCACAACAACCTTTCCAATGATTATTATTATCCCTTCCCATTTTACAGATGAAAAAGCTGAGTTTTTAAAAAGTTAACATGTAAGCCAACTCTCCTCCAGTATTCACTTTGTAGAACAGGGACCCACACTCAAAGCCTCGATTTTCAGCCACAACATTCTACTTCTGGATGTCTCACCTTAGTTAATTTCCCCCAGAAAATAATTAAGTACAGATGAAATGAATGCTTGAGCCATTAGACTCCAAATTATCATTTGTTTGTGGAAACATCTGTCTCAGTTGGCAAATATACGATGTTTAGATACAATTTCATAGTTTGTTCTAGAGAATAAGAACTTCCAGAATTATGAAACTGATGATCAAAAAGGACCACCAACTGAGAGCCTCTGTCTTTCAAAATAGACAGAGCTCCCTAGAAAACCCAGGGGACCATGAGCATGCTTTTCTTCTCATGACCATGACTTGGTCTTCTACTCCAGGAGACCATCCACCCTTACTTACTTCATCTTCTGGAAACACTTTTTTCCATGATTGAGAAAACTGAAAGCATCTAAAATCTCCTTTATAAGAAAGCAAACTATTAAACAATTGGAAAGCTGAGTTTTCTTAGGATTGAATACTTCTGGATGACAATTGTAGTAAATTTTCATTTGCTGAATGTATCACCGGAGCAATAAAGATTGGAATTAAACCCTAACTTAAAAGGCAACTATAGAGTTGGTTGAATAAGTGAATAAATAAACTGAATGAAATGATCACAGCTTCCCTATAAACTTTTCAATGTTCCTCTTAATAGCAGAATTAGATAACAATACTTCAGAAACATTTAGAGCAAAAGAGTATAACTGAACTAATTCCTCTCTTGTTCTTGATACTATAAGTTCCTGTTACTGACTTCGAAGGATGATTACCTTTACTAGAAATGATTCTATCTATAGTAATCAGAGCATGCCATTTAATAACTCAAGTCTTTAAGCTATTCTACTTCTCTTTCTCCACCCTATCCTATGGAGTAGTTCACAACAGGTTAAATTGTCATTGAAATCTATCATCACTCTGTCCCTTAGAAATTTCTACCTTTTTGAACATGTGTAATGCTCACTGAAGTTATTAATATAAGAATGGAGAGAACAGAATCAAGTTTGGAACCATATGCATCTGATGCTGCTGTCACACGTGCCAATATGTCACATGTCATGTGTACTTAGCCAACTACTTTCTCTAGGTTGATCACAGCCAGTATTAGATTAAATGTTAACTTTATCATTCATTTTTCCTTCAGGTTGATTAACTGTTATCCAGACATTCAAAATCATACTAGCTGAAACATTTTCAGCTCCTACTAGATCTCACCTCTTTGGTGAGACAGAGATCATGGTTAGCATAGAATTTAAACCAAAAGTTAGTTTGACTCCAATGGCTGAGATGATCACAACATATAAAACTATCCTACTTAACTGTTTCCTCTTAGTTAACAATGGAGGCCAAATAAGAACTGAAATTGTTGAAAGGAGAAGATAAAGAAGAGCAGGAGTCTCAGGGTAGAAAAATAGGGACAAGGAGAGCAAGTCCACCATCAGTATTCAAAGACAGAATTCAAAGATTCTCAAAAGAAATAAAACAGAAAAAGCTAACAATCTGATCACTTAACAACATGTCCTCAGAAGGAAAACTACAGTTATCTTTACTAGGACATATAATTTACCACTGGTAAATTTATGGCACCAGTAAAACAAACAAACAAAAAAATTACCTCAAGCATATAGTTGGGTGGAAGTCTAGATCTGAGATGCTGGAGACAACTATTAAAGAGCATTAGGAAGAGATAAAAGGCTTTACAAGGAACAAGATAAATTCAAGGCAACTTAAGGTAGGGAAGGACCAACCTGCCCCGCCTGCCAGCAAGCATGGTAAGGTAATCCCAAGATGGAGATAGTCAAATGTTAGTCTTTAAGTTGATTAATTAGAGAAAAAAACTAAGGGCCTCCGAATGAACATAATTTGTATGTGTTGACATCCACAAGTTACGTGTTTCCATTTGGGGATCTCGGGAAAGAATAAATCAGTTTATTTGAACCATTAAGGGACCTAATGATTTGAGTCTTTTAACTGGCTGAGTTAAATAAAAGAAAATATGTAAAGAAGCAAATTAGAAGAACTTAATATCCAATTAAGGCATTTTTTTCATTCACTCACTATTTTATTCTTTCATTTGTTAAACATATATTGACAGCCTATTTTACATCCGAAATTAAACTAGACTTTGGACATTACTATAGGTTTGGACTAGGAAAAAAAAAAAAAAGAATTCTACCATCTGTGAAAGATGTCTCCACTCTGAGTACTGCAGAATAGCTGAAGAGGCTGGAGTCAGTAAAACAAATACTTTGTTTGCTGTAAAGAAGTTCTGCAACAAGAAGTAACAAAGTGCCAGTAAAAGTCCAGATACAAAAGTTCACCTGTCATGTTGACAAGTTGCTGGAAGGAAGAACATATGATAATTGACTACAGGCTCTGGCCCTCCATCTCTATAGGGATTTTTTAGTATAAGAGGTTCAAGTAGCGTTGGCCCTCATATATCCACCCCCACAGACAGATATGAGATGTTGACTTTGTAAATGAAAGGATGACTTTGAACTTATGATCAGTGCTCCTCCTTTATCATTATCCAAGGATGTCAGAAACTAACCTGCTAGAAGTTAATCAGATGTCTCCATTCCCATTCTAGAACACCCTTGTTCTAGAACACCCTTGTTCTAGAACACCCTTGTTCTAGAACACCCTTGTTCTAGAATGGGAATGGAGACATCTGATTAACTTCCAGCAGGTTAATTTCTGACATCCTTGGATGTTAACAAGACCCTAGTTCTAGAATGTGTTATGTATTCTTTCTGTGCATGCAACTTATCTATATAAACTGAGACCAAACCTCTAAAGGTGGGTCAATTAGAGAAGTCTCATGGCTGTTCCCCTGGTTTAGGGCCTGAGTGACTCTGAATCACCTCTTTTAATAAACTTCTAATTTATTAAAGTCTGATTTCACTTTACACAGTGATTGTTTCAGTTGACATAGGTTAAGTTGCTTATAAAAGAGTGAATGTATGAATGAATGGATGGATGGATGGATGGATGGATGGATGGATGGATAAAAGATTTAACAAGCAATCACATGAATTAGAGATAATGACTAATGAGTAAGTGAAAACCTTTGAAAAAATCAAAAGTGAAGACTTCTGTGAATTCTCCTTAGCTATATTAGAAAAGGCCAAGTCTACAATTCTTGGCCCTTTCTTATGAGTCTCCAGAGATGTGAAGTCTTAAATTGAAGGTCAGGAAGTCTCTCAAGTTTACTGTGAAGCTGTAATATTCATGAGGTGTTCATAGCCACCCGGACTTTTTATTAAAGCATGAAAGAGAAGATCTTCAGCCAAGCTTAGCTTCTACTTACAAAATCCCTCTCATAGGCAGGCAAGAAAAGCACAGACAAGATTAAGGAACAACCTTGAAACTTCTTTTTGGCAAATGTTGTCTGAGGAAAGTTATCACTTAATAGAATTCAAATAATTAAAAACATGAGTAGTGTATTTATTTATGATCTCTAGCACGACCTGTGTGACATCTGGAAAATTGAAGATCTTTAAATAAGGAATCATAATTACAATAATGTAAAAAGAGTATTTAGATTCTTTTCACATAGATTGAAATAAACACTTGTTGCATTTACATGCCAATTCAATAAAAATGAGCCCACCATGTAAAAAAGCACAGACATAGCTTTTTGTTAAGACACAAGATGACATTACCATGCACATGCAGCCGAATCTCCTGCTGTGCTTCTCCAGCCGCATTGGTAGCCACACATGTGTATCTGCCAGCATCCTCCATCAGGGCTTTGGCTATTTGCAGAACGCGACCAGAAGACTGTATCTAATTGGGAGCAGAAAGCATGGCCGCATTTTGACTTTGCACTTGGACTTGCAAACATTTGCTGAGATAGACAAACTCATTTAAATTTATAACATCTAATTATAGTTTATGCCAATATCCTAATTATTTCTGGACATATTAGAGCCAGATCACTTCATCATACACAAGAAAACAGACTAATGTGACTGAAAAACTTATTTATTACAAAATATAAAATAAAATAACCTAAGGCCAGCCTGTTGGGATAATCATTAAATTCCACTGAAAAAATAGATTTTTAGCACCAATGAGATATGTGCTGAAAATTTAAGCTATTTGAAAAAAAAATCATGGTTACATTTATATAACACTTCATAAATAGTTTTAGAGCAGCGATCTTTTTTGATTAAATGGTCATAGATACCAGAAAAGCAATAAAAGTCATAAAATATGAGTAATGGGAATGCAGATGATTTTTTTCCTGAACTACTTTTCCTTACTTCTCTCTTAAACTCATTGCACCTGGCACCTGGCACCCATCATTTTGAACTGGTGATTGAACAGTTAATCTTGAAAACTAATTATTCTGAGGTTCCTCGTTAACTTTCAACTGCAATATTCAGTAGCTTACATAGTAAATTCATATTCTCTTTCACTAGCTACAACATTGAGAATCGTTGACTACCTACTCTAAATTTCACTATCCTTTGGGTATTGGAGATACAGCATTTTCTCAGTTAATTCCTTTGGAGATTACGGGATCTGCTTCCTCTTCCTGTATCATAAAGAGGAAACTTAGATTTCTGTTAGTTTTCATCCAAATCCATGGCTTTGGTAATAAGTTCTGTGCAGACTCCTACATTTGCAGTGTTGACCGCAATTTCCTGAGCCCTACACACATGCTGGATAGGTTATCACATGACATGTAACATATACAAAAGCGGAGCTTGTAAATGTTTTCCTTGTCTCTCTAAAACCTACTTCTCTTTGCATGTTTCCAATCATCTGGGTTATGGAATCAATCCACTTTAATTTTCATATTAATTATACCACTCTTTCTCAGATCTCCTGTTTTCCATTCTCAGTCGCTGTGGGATTATAATACTGATACTTCAGTGTCTCCAACATCACAAACTGTTCATCTAACTAGCATGCTGCTGCCAGAATAATTTGTCTAACAAGCAAATTTGATCCTTTTACCAAGCCCCCTTCAAAGCTCATTCATGATTTCCTACTTTGCCCAAAATGAAATCTGAACTCAGTATAGCCTTCCAGGTTCACAACATTCTCACCCCAAATGATCTTCTCTCATGCTCCCATGTAAAATTCCACTTAAACTATTCTCCAGCCATACTGTACTAAACATATTAAGCAACACACTGATGCATTTATATTCACTTCTGGACTTTTGCACATGGCCTTTAAATGCCATAATTTCTTAAGACTGAAATAGCTCAGTCCTCTCATTTCTTACTCTTTTTTTTCCTCCCCTTGGATTAACTCTTTACTCTCCCCTTAGACTAACTCATGTGCCCCTGTGTTTAAATGAAAGTTGTGAGGAGCAGGAATGGCCACTGAGCAGGTTTTCTAGGATCCCATGCAGACCAGGTAAAGAGGAGTTCTGGAGTCCTCAGGCGTTTTGCAGGTCTTTTATTGGGGTTTACCAGGCATATGGCAGGCAGGGGTGCTGGGGGGCCGGGAGGCTGGCAGGCCTCCCAACCCCCAGCAAGTCTTCACTCTATCCGTGCTCTCCGGCATTCTCTGCTTCTCTCTCTGCTTCTGCTGCTTCTTTCTTGGCTTCTCTTTTGGCTTCTGCTGCTGCTTTCTCGCCTTCTGGCGTCCCTGTGACGCCGCCCTTAAAAAGCACAGTCTTAGCACAGGTGTACCCACTTCAGGTGCCCGCCATCAGGCATGCATTCAGGATCACAGGGTTCCCTCATCTATCCTGATGGTGGGAGGGCAGAAAAGCCTGATACCTTTTACCTTACCCTACAGTCCACCCCCTCAGGGTTTTCTGCCATATTGTCTTCATATGTACAATTTTGTCTCTTAGCAAACATAAACAATGCAGCCATAGCCCATAAAAGCAAATACATCACAATAACAACAAAATACAACAGAACACAAATAAGTCCAGGCAGGGCCCCAACCTAGTGCAAAAGACAATTATTGGTACCAGCAGATGAGCCACCAAATCTGCTGCCGAAGGCACTGCTCATACGAGGGAGGGGAATCACTCACGGCATCTACTGTAACACACCAGGAGCCGTCAGGCTTCCTGGCCTTCTCTGGCTGTAGTCTCGGCTACAAGCCGCACACAGTATCCACCCCCAGGATGCACTAGCTCTGGGATTGGCGATTCTATTCTGTTGGGGGTAATCGCCAACCCTCAGGGTTTCTGTCTGCAGTAGTCACTCCAACACTCGGCTTTCATAGCCACCAATGCGACTTGCAGACCCCTGCACTCAGGCCAACCCACTGCACGAGCACATGGGTCGGGGATCCAAACTCTACATGCAGCTTGGGCTCCACCCCAAGCCAAGTTCCCCACCCGTCCCCCAAAGACAGGTTCCTCAGCTCCTCACCCTCACTCAAGAATGAGCAAGGCATCACCCACAGGTGATTTTATGAGACTCACAGTTCTTCAGCATACTCAGGCTTGCTTAATAGCCACTCAGGGCTTCTTAACTTAGCATCAGCACCAGCTTTTGCCTTCTCAGTTGGCTTTTCTCCTCTGCCTGGCTGCTGGGCATACACAGGCTGCTTTTGGCCATCTAGGCCCACTGGCCACCCCCAGATTCTCAAAAAGAAAAGACATAACTGCCAGGTTCTCCGCCTTCTGTCAGGATTGTCAGTCCAACTCCATTAGTCCAAGTCCATCAGGCCACTCCCTGCATCAGCACTGGCAAGCTCCGAATCATGGTCCTCTTTCCCTGATGATTCTCCTGCCTCAGGGGTCATTGGCTGGTCCTCTCAGGTGTCTCCTCCTCCAGCTGAGGTCTCATCCAGCAGCTCCTGGACGGTGTCCACCTTCTGTGCTGCCATGGCGCCTCCAGCATCATCACAGGCAAACAGTCTGTTCTCCTTAGTCCCTCCAGATCTTCGGAGGGCTCCAATACCCATCTACATGGATCCTGCCGACTACGTCAATTGTTCAAATGGAAGTTGTGAGGAGCAGGAATGGCCACTGAGCAGGTTTTCTAGGATCCCATGCAGACCGGGTAAAGAGGAGTTCTGGAGTCCTCAGGGGTTTTGCAGGTCTTTTATTGGGGTTTACCAGGCATATGGCAGGCAGGAGTGCTGGGGGGCCGGGAGGCTGGCAGGCCTCCCAACCCCCAGCAAGTCTTCACTCTATCCGTGCTCTCCGGCATTCTCTGCTTCTCTCTCTGCTTCTGCTGCTTCTTTCTTGGCTTCTCTTTTGGCTTCTGCTGCTGCTTTCTCGCCTTCTGGCGTCCCTGTGACGCCACCCTTAAAAAGCATAGTCGTAGCGCAGGTGTACCCACTTCAGGTGCCCGCCATCAGGCATGCATTCAGGATCACAGGGTTCCCTCATCTATCCTGATGGTGGGAGGGCAGAAAAGCCTGATACCTTTTACCTTACCCTACCCCCTGGCTTTGTAAGAGTAGCCCTTGTGGCCCCTGGTTCTCTGAAGTTACTGGGGCCCTCAGCTGTGTGCATTGGCCATGGTAGCTGGGTTTGATGGCTGACCCTGCACAGCTGGTTTTGGGTTTAGAGAAAAAAGAGAGAAAAAAAAATAGCAGTTTTGGAGACAGATGGATCAGGTTTGAATCTGGTCAGTGTCCTTTAGATGCAGCAGAGCTTACCTGCCCAGCTCCTGCACAAGATGGTGCAGGGTTGTAGGGTAAGTGTAGGGTAAAGAAAATATCAGGCTTTTCTGCCCTTCCGCCATCAGGATAGATGATGGATCCTTGTCCTGAATGCATGCCTGATGGTGGGCACCTGGAATAGGGTGTGGGCATAGGTAGATGGGATTCAGCTGAGCTAAGACTGTGCTTTTAAGGGCGGCGTCACGGGGGGACGCCAGCAGCACCAGCACCAGCACCAGCAGCAGCCGCAGCCGAAGCCGAGAAGCAGCAGAACGAACGCTAGAGAGCCCAGATAGAGTGAGGACTTGCTGGGGGCTGGGAGGCCTGCCAGCCTCCCAGCCCCCAGCCAGCACCCCTGCCTGCCATATGCCTGGTGAACCCCAAATAAAAAACCTGCAAAACTACTGAGGACTCTGACTCCTCCTTTACCCGATCTGCATGGGATCAGAAAACCTGCACTGTATCCAGTCCTGCCCCTACAATTGGCGTAAGTCGGCAAGATCCATGCAGACAGGTATTGGAGCTCTCCGAAGACCTGGAGGGACTAAGGAGTAAAAGACTGCCTGTGACGACGCTGGAGGCACCATGGCGGTATAGAAGATGGATACGTCCACGAGCTACAGGATGAGACCTGGCGTGAAGGAGAGGCCCGAAAGGACCAGCCAACGACACCGGATAGGACCAGCCAACGACACCGGAAAGGACCAGCCAACGACACCGGAAAGGACCAGCCAATGACCCCTGAGGCAGCAGGCCATTGCTGAAGCAGGGAGAGGCCAATGGACTGATAGACTGATGAACTGATGATTTTGGACTGACAATCCCGCCAGAAGGCAGAGGACCTTAGCAGGTTATGTTTATTTTTTGAGAATCTGGGGGTGGCCAGTGGGCCTAGATGGCCAAAAGCAGCCTGTGTATGCCCAGTGGCCAGGTGGAGGAGAAAAGCCAACTAAGGTGGCAAAAGCTGGTACTGATGCTAAGTTGAGAAGCCCTAAAGCGGCTGTTAAGCAGCCTGGGTATGCTGAAGCCCTGTGAGTCTCGTAAAATCACCTATGGGTGATGCCCTGCTCATTCTTGAGTGAGGGTGAGGAGCTGAGGAGCCCGTCCTTGGGGGACGGGTGGGGAATGTGGCTTGGGGTGGAGCCCAAGCCAAATGCAAAGTTTGGATCCCCAACCCATGTGCTTGTGCAGTG